TGTCATTGAAGCACCGTAGTGCACTCGACTGCATGAAAAGAAAAACGATCAGTACCCTATTTCAGGTAAACAAGCCAAAAGTTCATATTTTAAGATACTCCCTATATACCAAACAAATCAATTGGAAGCCAGATAGTCGAAGCATATCAAATGCTGTAATCTATCATCAACATAAAGTGTAAGCTATATTATTTTCTCCATAGCCAATCTGCACCTTCATTCCCAGAATTACATCTAACATCTAAAAACAGAAAAAGAGGTTCATCTATCAATCGGTATCCCATAAACTCAATGTTCGATATCCGGAATGTTACATATTGAGAAAGGATTGCAATCAAGGATATACAAAAGCTCTTGGAGATAACTACAAAAGGAAATGCATACCTCATAAGCAGGAAATGAAATTGGATCTGTATCATTTTTGCAACTTGTATGCACTGTTCCTGGTTGCAAATTATCAGCATCAGGCATCCGTGGCTGGAACCCATCAATGGCTTCGACAACAGTCTTTCCAAAGCTGAGGGTAGGTTCCGACCTCGCCAGTTCACGCAGCTGATGAATTACCTCCACTTTGTGCTGTCCGCAAGAAGCATTACGATTCTGATTCAGAAACAGTACATTGATCCATGTTATATGTTAGCAAACAATAGAAAGTTGCAATCAAATGCATAACACCATGAACTTGAATCCTCAATTCCCCGGAACAAAAAGTGTAAGCAAAAGCTAAGAAATTTGCAGCTAAAGGCAAACAGTTCATCTCAAATCTTCTTTGTTGTAATTACCATACAACCATAGCAGTAAAACTTCAATAAAATCAAGTTGCCTAACTTAATTTGATCATGAAAAGTTCAATAAAATATTAAGTTCATGTAACATAAAGTACCAGAACCCTCACGGGTTTCATTTTGCAAAACGAAAAGAGAAACGGACAATTTGATCAGAACCCCAAACTTCCAAAATTCATCCACTTTACAAACAACAATTCAATAACTTTTCACAAGAAAGAGTGTGAACTGAAACTTCTCTAACACGTCCTAGCCAACCACCATAAACCCGACATAAATGCAAGAGGGTGAAAAGGTCCAACTTGATAACTACCTTGGGCAAAGGAAGAACATCCGTCGGCTTAAACCCGTGATCAAAATCACCCGAAACAAGCAAATCATCAAAGCTAGAAATCACAGGAGTTTCCCAGGTTAACAAATCCAACCACCCATCGTCCACACCATCACCATCTCCTTCCCTTTCACTCAAAATCGGAGCTTTATCGCCCAAATCCTCAATCCCAACGAAACTCACCAACTCAGTCACCGAAGGACACCCAGTAAACCCTTCTATGGGGCCTCCTATTGTGCAACGAAGACGAGGGAAACTTGTGGCTTTCCCTTTCCCAATCGCAATTCGAGCAGAAAACAGATTGCTCTGTTTCGCAAAAGATGGAAGCGGGGGAATCATCACAGGCGTCACACAGTTGTGACCGAGTGTGCCTCGTGAATAGTTGGTTGGCTGAGTGAACTTCCCTGTCGCACGAAAAACATAGCTTGGCGGAGTCAGCTCTGCAATATATAAGAGCCGTGGATTCATTGCAATAATCACAGAGTCTCCTCTGTTTTTGGTTAATTTCCTGGTCAGTCATGTGTAACTGATAGACCGATCCTTTTTGTTTTTTTTTTCTTCTGGGATTCTAAGAAAGGGAGGAATTAGTTTGAGTGCAAAGAGAGTAATATAGAACTGAGAGATGGCGCCAAGTTCTGGGTGGTTTGCTTTGACTGAAGAAATGAAATGGTGGGAACAGAGATGTACTCTAATTATCGTTTTTCTTGGTGCCCAAGTTGTGTTTAAATGAGTTGGTTGATATTTCCACCCCCTCCCCTTTTTCTGTGTCCCTCTTTAATGGGGGAAAGTGATATTTATCTTAACTTTTTATGTCTCTACACATTTCTTTTGGTTTGGAAGTGACAAGACAGACCTTTTTCTTATTTAAAACGGAATCAAGGATTTTCTTTTACCAAACATATAATATTTATAAGGGTAAACTATATTCAATATCATCAAACTTTAGGCATTATATCGTTATATCACTAAACTTTTAATTTTATCAATTATATCACTAAACTTTGATTTTTGTTTCAATTATACTACTGAACCGTTAAATTTTTAACGACACGATGATGTGGTTGATAGATGTCGACGTGGCTGACAACTTCTGACATAGACACCTCACTAACACGACGTTTTTTAGATTGGACTGTTAAAGATTTAACAATCCAATAGTATAACTGAAATGAAAATCAAAGTACAGTGTTATAATTAACAAAATTGAAAGTTCAGTAGTATAAATGATGCAATGCCTAAAGTTTGTTGATATTTGATGTAGTTTACCCTTTTATAATTAATTATAAAAATCAAATTTATCACTAATTATTTATTAAAATAATATTATGTAGTTGTAACTTAAAAAAATATAAATGATTGAACGTGATTATAGGTACGTGGCGTTTTTTTTTTTACAGAGAAGTAGTCAGTTTTATTAAAAAGTATCTAATATTTAAATTTATAATCACACTTATAAATTTAAAAGGAACACGAAAATCTTAATAACAAATAAAACCCTAAATAGCGTGTCCGAAGTACAATTGACTTCTGAACTCTATAGTCAGTGAGACTTTATTAACATATTATTTTACTACAATAGTATCCTAAGATTGGCACACAACCAAGTTCAATGAATGATTTTATTATGACAAAATTGAAACAATAAAATTCACAATTGATCACGAGAAATTGCTGTTGAAGTAAGCTTATTTGTTGACTCACCCATTCAAAAAAAGACAAAAAGATGTCATGTGTATCAATTACATAACGTGTATTAATTTTTTTTTAATAATCCGGCTTATTACAAGATAACATTTGTTGATTTATTTTTATTATTGATCATACATCTTATAGGCGCAACTACTTGAATTCAAGACATCAAGAGAAAATAACAATATATTTAATCACTTATTCTATTTAATGAGTTCTACATACTAGAAAGTTTGATTAGAAGAAAAAAATAATTTAATTCAACTATACAGCTCGTGACTCACACTCAATAGTAGGTCCAACATCAAGATTTAACATTAATTGATGGGATTTCATCTCATCTAGATGCCTGCAACAACCATGTACTGACGACAAGTATAAACCGTCCCAGCGTGGAGGTTGGAAGGAAGAACACCACACCACAAGGCTTCAAATCACAGATGTTATCATTTATGATTTATCATCTAAGGTAGCACTGTGCCCCCATCGACTTTTCTCTTGACACTTCCTTTTGGGGGATACGGCACCTACTAGATACGAGGGTGACTTGTATGGATTTAACTAGTCTATCATTAGAAAAAAGACAACAATTTTATAAAATGAATTTAATTAAATGGTGTGATATTAAGCAGCCACTATACAGATGATAAGTCCAAAACAAGTGAGCAAGTTTATGGATTAATAATGAAAGATCGGCATGAATTCAGCTTCTTCATATCCTCCTCCCTGCTCTTTCTTGCATGCGGTGCAACAGAATACAAACTGGCAAACCAAGAGAAATTTGTGGAAGTTGAGAACTGATGAATTTGTTCTTATCAAATTTTGAATAATGGAATAAAAGGATTAATTGGAATGCAAAAAAAGTATCCAACATGGTTACGTGGGTAGATGAAATTCCATTGATGACAAACTCACAACACACTGATGATAAAAGTGTGACTTGAACAGGAATTGTTTGTCATTGATTCTTCATTTGCCTTTTTGACAGAATTCATATGTTTCCTCTCCATATACAACGGAGGAAGACACTATCTACAACATTTTTTTTTTCCACTTCTGTCTTTTGTATCCATTGAATAAAGCAATAACTAAAACAGTTTATAGCCATGTATGTAAAGTGATCTCTTTAGGCAGGAAGATATCTTTTTCCTTGGGAAAATTGGGGCAAGGGGGGACCAGTCACTGTATATATTTGTCCATTTTTTTTCTCTGTAGGAAGTTGGATGCGAATTCAACCATAACTCTGCTAAATTCTCCCCTTCACTTGCTTTCATCCAGAAGCTATTAAATTAAGCATCGGAGCGTTGACAACTTTATTCTGCAACAAGCCTGTCCACCTCAGAATCCATTGACGAAACAATTGAACCAAAGCTGTAATTAGCATTCCATTGGATCCAATCTTTTTGCAAAGTAGTTCAAAAAGCAACTTTGCTTTCCAAGACCTTTGCAAGTGTGTCTCATTTGAGCACTACTATTCAATGTTCGAAAATGAAGAATATAAATATCACATTAAATTAGATAATGCCATCTATATGCTTTTATATATATATAGCATCAGAATTTACTACGTTTTTGTTGCAGGATCGGGGGTAAAGTTATCTACCATTGACATCGACTAACGACCATCTTTTCTCTGTTGAAGAAGAAAAACAAAACCTAAGTAAACTAAGTTAAAGAATAAAAGGCAAATGAATGTGTCGATAATGCGAAGAATCTCACATTGAATGGGAAAAGAGTTTAAACATTGTTTATTTCTTTCATTGAGTAACATGATTAAGACGAAAACTTTAAAAGCTGTGAGATATATTGTATCTGCAATTCACTTTTTTTTTCTCTTAAAATCATATTTCGATTTCGATTGTATTATTTAGATTTTTCTCTTAAAGTATTCGATTCTGATTTTTGTGTTTGACATATACTCGATCATGAATATTAATCACGTGAGATATAATCTTTCAAATATATAAAAAAGCATACAACTTCTGTTGAAGGAGGCTAAAAGAAAGAAATGAAAGTATAGAGTTTACTTCATTAAGAAACAGAAACTGATTACATGGTAGAGAGCTAGTCCAAAGATAAAAAGCACACGAGACATAGAAAGGCTACATAAAGACTACACAACACAGCTCATGACTAGAGATCAGTACTGCTATTGAACCCATTTTATTCCTTCAATTTGATATTTGAAGTTATATATTTAAAAAGTTTCTTTAACACAGAGTCTGATAAGGCTTCAGCATAGGCATCAGCCCTCCACTTAGATGAAGGGACATGATTTCATTGGTGGAACCCACCAGCTTTCCACCAATGAAGATGGCTGGAACAGGACCGTTACACCCCAACCTCATCAGGGCTTTCTCCATTTCCCAGCCTTCAGGGTCTTGGTCGAGCTCATGAATCATAGGGGTCACCCCAAGCTCTTGGAATAGGATTTTGACTGCATAACACATGCAGCACGAGCTCTTGCTGAATAGCACCACCCCTTTCTCTGAGGCCAATCTTGCCACCTTGTCCATGCTGAAAATCCTGGTTCACAATTCCCTTGGTTACCTGCAGATTTCACTTAAAGGTCAACGAGCGTCGGATAGAACTGTAGTGGAATTTTGGACTTTTAGAAGGTGAAGTAGGAAAAAGAGAGAAAAGGGTTCAAAGCTTAAGGTTTTTGGAACTTAAGCTTCCATGCTAGAGTATTTATAGGGACAAGCAACAAGAAGGAAATGTATATTAGCTAGAGATGCTACTTTAGCTGAACAAGTTGGCTAAAACAAGTTTATGCTAAATATTGCTCGAACCATATTCAAGTTTCTGATATAATTACCTCTTTAACTAGATGGTTCAAGAAAACACAAAGGATTATAAAATAGTAAGATTCATGTTGACTTGATTCATCGGCCTAACGCCTACGTGTTTGGCCTGCAAACCATACATATTCCCAACTTTTTGGTAGATTCTATGGAGATGAATACTTTATAAATCCTATCAAAGTGTTACAAAAGAAGAAGATTCTGAGCCTGGCATGTCAATATACACTAGATCCTCGAAATTGCCTACTTTGAATCCTTCTGATGCAGAAAAGATTACGAACGAGAGTGCGAATGTGATATCTTTCTGTGGCTGCAAAATTCTTACCATTGTGTCCTCCAACTTGCATGATTCTTCACACATGTGAGCGCTCATATTGGCTCTCACTTCTTGCACATGGCTTCTTCTCTTAGAGATAGCAGCCATCAATGTGTGAGTGAGCTGCCTGTGAACGACGCCAATTATCATACGTGTGGTGACAACAACTCTTCCTTCCTCGAAGGTGGGGCAGGATTCTCCATTCTCATGCTATCTTACTGCAAAAGAATAAAGTAATCGGCTTTACAGAAAGTGATCATCCCATAAGAGTATCCTTGAGGTAGGTGCAGTAAAGATTACACCTTTGCCACACACTGAAATTAAAAAATGATGTTTTATGTGAATGAGTATCCATATGCATCTAGGAACTACCCTGGATATTAAAAAACTAAGTTCCTAGCCTAGAAGCAGCAGCTCTTTGTCTCACAGATAACGCCATATAGACATAAATTTATATAAAACTCAGTAACTAAAACATGCTAATTGATACTGTTAGTGCTATCTGGTATGCCAAGGGTCTAGTCAATGGAGTAACAGGGCAGAAAGTCAAAGAACCAACCAATTCGATGTCACTTTTTCTACTAATTAACACCTTAAAAATAAAAATGCACTGTGCAATAGTTTATTCATGCTGCAAAGGGATTACTTTTTGTAAGTGGATGAGTTTTAGATTGCAACATGTTTGATTACCAGAAGAAGAGCCATATTCTTTTAAAGTTCAGCTTTGTGTATAGGAGAAAAGTTTTTAAAATATTCTTCAGTGGGAACTCCATGAACACAGTGTGAACCTTAATTTGATTAGAAGGCCACGAATTTGTGCCTGTTTCTGATACTAAAGAAGCATTATCCAACCAAGCAGTAAAGCGTTTAAGATACTGTATACGAGCTATTGATTTTATTCAAAGTACCGAACACAAAGCAAAGCCCTTTATACAACATTTTCCCTTTCAACATGAAGGGATATGGACCATTAAGTTCAGAAAGTATGATGTTTTTATATTCGAGTGTGGACTCTCTCTATTGTTATTTAGATTTTGATTAAAATCTGACTGCATAAATTAATTACATTTGTTATTTTATAAATAGTTAATGAAAGAAAATAAATTCACTATAATAAGTGGAAAACCTAGAAATATTTTTCACAATGGATACATATGTATTAATAACATAAATTTTTCGTAGGGAACAAACAAAGAAAATTTCAATATGAGCAACATAAGTAAAATGAATAACTACCATATATTTTTTACTTCAATAAATATACTTAAAAAATTAAATATCATATAAATATTATTTATAAAACAATTTATATATTTCAAATAATAACCCAATTAATTAACCTTGAGGTATAAAATGAATTGTGGGTCGCTATAAAATTGTATGCAGTGCCTGTGGGCTAGTCTTCAATGAATTTTACCTTCACAGAAATATACTTAAAAAATTAAATATCATATAATATTATTATAAAACAATTTATATATTTCAAATAATAACCCAATTAATTAACCTTGAGGTATAAAATGAATTGTGGGTCGCTATAAAATTGTATGCAGTGCCTGTGGGCTAGTCTTCAATGAATTTTACCTTCACAGGCTTTAAATTGTATAATGTATTGAATGAAAGAAACTGGACTCATAGTCCAACTTTTAACTGCCCATTTAAGCCCCAGAAGCTCTATACACACACACGTACAGAGAAGAAAAGTAAATTCCCCATAACTGTGATATTTATTCAAATTGGTGGTGGATTGAAAGTGTTCCAGGGAAGGGATAAAGTGATCATGATGGATCCAGTTGTTCTACCATGAGAATATATTCTGATCTAATAAATTTTTTACACAAAAAATTTATGCAGAGATGATAGCAATATCATCTCATACAGCTCATTGGAGGAGCTAACCAAACACTGTGGCATTTAGCTATTGATATGGATGCTATTATATTATAGTTATCGAATAAGACTTTTGAAACGCCAAGTCATTAAAAAAATTAGAAATCTATCACTGTTAAAAGCAGTTTTAAAGTTTCCAAACAAGCTTCATACAGCTCTCAAATTAATTACCAAAAACGCTTCTCCGCTGCATATAGCAATGGATGTGGTCGCAAGTATGGTTGCAGACAGGCCAATGGTAATCTTCAGCCGGTCCACTTGTTGCATGAGCCACACCATCAAGACTCTCATCGGTGACTTCGGGGCGAACCCAACAGTTTACGAGCTCGACAAGATTCCAAACGGGAAACAAGTCGAAAGGGCACTGCAACAGATGGGGTGCAATCCCAGTGTTCCAGCTGTTTTTGTAGGCCAGCAGCTCATTGGAGGAGCTAACCAAATCATGTCCCTCCAACTCAGGAACCAGCTTGCCCCATTGCTCATAAGGGCTGGAGCTATATGGATTTGAAAGATAAACTTCCATTAACACAAATAAATTGATAAATGTCTTTGTTCTCTGTGTTTGTGTCACTGTCGTCTGTCTACATAATTTTGTTTAGAGTCCTTGTACACCATTTTGGGGCTGAACAGGGTTATATATTATACTAGTACTTTCATTGTACTAACCTTTCTATGCTTAAATAAAGGTATATTTGCTTTAACCTTTACTTGCATTATAGTTTCACTTTGACCTGGGAACACTTAGCACATAAAATATAAACAGTACAATATGCTTTAGAGTGAGCAGACAATGTAATGGCAGCATGAACCGATAAAATCAGGGATGACCTTAAATTTAATTCCATAAAATCTAATCATACAACTGATAAATACACCTCATAACACCACTTCGAAAACTGAACAAAACTAATCATGCAACTTTGACACAAAATCATTGGACATTTTGTGTTTGTTGAAGATGTTAATGCTAAGATCATAAAACGTCCAAGTACAACATACTTAGACGCGAATCAAGCGATCTCAATAGTTGAAAGAGTAGTAGTTATCTCTAGAGGTCTCGAGTTTGAATACGAAGTTTGAACATTTATTGTCAAATGATTTAGAATCTTTAAAACATATATTATTTCACATTTACCTTATACTAATAAGAAAAAAAAGGGGCCGGGGGACATAGTTGCAGATCAATGACGGCATTAACAATAAGAAGTTGTGTGGTTGGCTGCACTAGCTACTCTAATCCTGCCTCGATTATTTTTCAAATGGTTTGATGACGCGCGGTTTAAATTTATATTTTTATTTTATCATAAAGATTATTTTAATTAGATGGCTTTTATTTGATGAAAATTATTAAATTAATTAAAATAATAAAATTAAAAGATAAATTGGTACAAAATTTTAGATTATGTCATGTAATCTTGAATTATATATGTGATGGGATGGCATGAGATTACAAATTATGTTAAACTTTACCCGTGATATTCATGAATCAAACGTTATAAGTTTATAATTAAAATCTGAAATTATATGATTTATATCATATAATCTTAAACAATATGAATCAGCGCATAAATACTTTAATCCTGCTGTGTCCATCAACTTTCACGTCGAGCATGAAGCTAAGAAACATGGAATGGTGAGCATGTGGTCGAAGCTAACGAAGAAAACAATTGCTCCATATATGCTGCTAGCTGTTGCAGACAGCCTCCTCAGGGAAAGTGACTATACAATATTCAAGCTTCCAGTTCTAGACGATGATTCATTTTAATATTTGCAGATAACTTTCATTTTCTTCGACAACTGTAAAATGCCATTTTCTTTTGTATCTTCGTATATGGAAAATCTTCTTCATAAACAAATATTCTCCAAAATCTTACTGATTTGTTTTGCTTGGAAATATTTTTAAAAGAACGATAATAAAATCCCAGTCGCTGAGATGCCAGGAGCCGACTTCGCATTGTTGCTTATCTTTCGTCGTTGTTCTTTGTTTTAGTGGCTCAAAGTACTGCTATATGTACAGGCGAATCCACCAGAGTTGACATTCCCACACTGTCAGTTTCTTCACAATATCCGTATGTACTTGTTATCTTCATTGTCACTCTCTCTCGTTCATGCAAATCAAGAATATTATACATTTGTGATGGAAATATTTTCTAGTGTGCTTTAGGAAAAGGAAAAAAGTCGATATCTTTCGAATAATATTCTCTTGTAGATATTACTAGTAGCATATAGATCAATCCATGCAGGTGCAGAATGCATGGCAGCTCTTCATGCAAATATATACATATATATAAAAGATATGTATTAATTGACCCCGGCCTTTCGCTTTATCTCGAGCCAGGTTTGGCTGTACGTGCTCAAATGCTATAAATATTATATATATACACTGCACACACTTATGACACGTTTTATATTTGGAAAAAGTGAATTGGTTTTGATGCTATCAACAGACAAAGAAGATAAGCAGATGCACCATAACTGTGAGTGTGATTCAAATTGGTGGTGAGATTGAAAGGGTTCCAGGGACAAAGTGATCATGATGGATCCAGTTGTTCTAACATGAGAATATATTCTGACCTAATAAATTATTTAACACCAAACAACTATGCAGAGAAATATGATGATAAACATAAGCTATCTCACATCAGATACATGATCATGATGATGAGAAGATGAATTAAAGCCCAATAAACCTCATTCTTGAATGGTTAGTCAAAGGACTAATAAAAGTAGTAATTTCATTTGTTAATAAACCATTTGATAAATATTGTGGAGTATCAACACAATGATTTAATGAACTTACCTATTGGAGTCCCTTATTTGCATTAGTCAAACTGCAGATGAATGGCAAAAGATATGTTAAAGAATCATTATCTAGTCATGAGCCCGCCATTTTATAAACTAAGATTCGTGTTTACATTGAAGTTGTTCTTTTTTTAGGTTAAGTCTAGACTTCTCCATAATTTCAATCCAAATCATACGGTGATTTCCAGTGGTTGTAGGCATTTCCAATAGTTGAGTGCACTAACAATGAGGTGCCATGTGAAGGCATCTTCTTCTTGCTTCTTTGTACGGTCATTACGTTTGTAGCTTTTATAGTAAGCATCTGATCTTTTATCTCCGTTTCCACCCCTTTTCCCTTTGCTTTCTCTGTTTGGAATTTATGCGAATCATTGGATAAACCCAACTTCTTTTTCCACTTCATCAGAGAGATGCCGCAAAAAGATAAATAAAGATTGAATAAGAATAGAATACGGAAACACTTTGCTCTCTTTGCATGCATTTTGCATGTTAAGGATACTGCAGTCATCTAAAATAAAAAATATATATATTGTCAATATTTAATGTATTTTCATACTGTTGTGCAATGTTAGTACTGACTACTAAATGCAAGGAGATGTCAAAGTCTTTATCAATTTAATCATCAAGGGGCATATGAGGGAAGATCTTTTGGATGATTTTATTCCTTCTCAACACTGTTCGTGGACAGTATAAATAGGCTTCCAAGGTGGCTAGTTCTTCATCAAGCCTAAGCAGTTTTAAAGTTTGCAAAGAAGCTTCATACAGGTCTCAAATTAGATACCCAAAAACGCTTCTCTGCTGCATATAGCAATGGATGTGATCGCAAGTATGGTTGCAGACAGGCCAATGGTAATCTTCAGCCGGACCACTTGTTGCATGAGCCACACCATCAAGACTCTCATCAGTGGCTTCGGGGCGAACCCGACAGTTTACGAGCTCGATGAGGTTCCGAACGGGCAACAAGTTGAGAGGGAACTGCAACAGATGGGGTGCAATCCCAGTGTACCAGCTGTTTTCATAGGCCAGCAGCTCATTGGAGGAGCTAACCAAGTCATGTCCCTCCAGCTCAGGAACCAGGTTGCCCCATTGCTCATAAGGGCTGGAGCTATATGGATTTGAAAGATAAAGCATACTCCTATTAACTCAAATAAAGTGATAAATGGTTTTGGTATATCTGGGTTTCCCTTTTGGATTTTGCATGTGTCAGTCTGTCTACATACTTTTGCAGAGAGTCCTTGTACCGTTGTACGCTATTTTTGGGGCTGACCAGGGTTATATGTTATAGTATTTACCTTGTACTAACTTGTATTTTTACTTGCATATGCTTAAATAAAGGTATATCTGCTTTGTGTACTGCATTTTGTGGCTTGAGCCTTGATATGGCATTGTATTTTCACTATGACCAGGGAACATTTAGCACATAAAATACAGTAGAAGAAACAGCACAGTGAGCTTTAGAGTGAGCAGACAATGTAATAGGCAATATAGACTACTAAATTGATGCTTCTTGTCATCTAATCTGGCTAAAACCTGCTATGCACATCAGCACAATGATTAAATTGGCCTAAATAAGCAGTAATTGATAAAAATATGAAAGTCTAAACACCACCAAAAGGTGTTTAGTAAATATATTTTTAGTTATATTCATAGAGCATAATCTCATTGCAAGTCTTCATCAGGTTATAGCCCCTATGTAGATCATCAGCTAGTTCCACTGAATAGAAGACAAGGAATTAATTGATCAAAAGTGGTGAATTGGTGAAATTTTGAAGTATAAAAGTTTAATTGAATGTAAAAGGAAATCAAGGACTTAATTGATTTTTTTTCAAAAGTTAAAAAACTTCTAACTTCATAAACTTTTTTTAAAATTAGGGGTTCAAGTCCACTCCAACCTGTATCATTCAATAATTTTCAATAATATAAGTTTCAACTGATTTTCTTTAAAGAGAATTTCAGATTCTAATGGCGAAAGTGTAAACTATTTGGACTGAGGGTTAGGGACTAAATTATGCGAACTTAAGTGTAGAAGGAAAATCACAAATTGAGAATATTATAGGGATCAAAAACATAATTTGACACAGAAATCTAAAAGCGAATTAGTTTGATAAAACGCTGCATTTCATATACGGTTTAAAATATGGAGGTTTGCTTGTTCCTTCGCGGAGGCTGAAAAATCCACCCCCCCCCAATTTTTCTCAGTCTTCTTTCGAATTGGAAACGGTACGGATGAGATGCGAGCTTCACTTTCTCAATTAGGCAACATATTGCCCATTCCGAAGCTCTTCAGGTACTACAAATTTCATCCTTGAATTCCTTTTTTTTAGGATTTCCGAATTCCCAGTCTCGAAAAAGATTGAATCTTTTTTTTGGTCTCCTTTTTTCTCTTATTTTTTTCAGGCAATTGGAGCAAGAAATGGAAACCGTAATCAAGGTGTTACAACCTGGACCCCTGGGGATTACGGAGCACAAATTATAGGCTGAAGAAATTCGCGAGGCAAACGCTACTGTTCGTAGAGCCGTCGAAAATTGGCGGAGGAATGCAATTGTAGAACAAAGAAACGGGGTTTTGAAAGATTACATTCACAGGTAAAAAATCATCATGCGGCTGTGTTATTTTCAGTGTGCGATTGATAGAAGGAACTTTGAAGAGAATGTTAAAAGTAAAAAGTTCTGCTTGATGTTTATCTTGTTATGTAGACTTTGCTCTCAGTTCTGAATAAAGTTAACCAATTTTCCTTTGGTGGAATTTTTCGTGTATACTGATGAAAGATTTTGTAACTCAAAAAAAATGGACAAAATGGTTTCTTTTCTGTTACTGGCTTGCTCTTCCCGATACAGGGAGAAAATCTTGCTATGTAGTTCATATGTTTTTTAAACGGGAGTCGGCATAAATGAAATAATGCTCGTACCATCATGTGGTTATCTGCTTTGAATTTGATCCTACAAGGTATCTGCCATGAGTTCCTGGATTTGGAAACATTGCGAGCTGCTGTTTCTGATACTTGATCGGGTATTCCTTGTGGATGTTTCGACAGCATAGAGTGTGCTATCAGGCTGAATGCTTGAATCCATGGTTATGCCATTAACGCTTGCATGTAATTCAATGCATGGACAAGGGGATCAGTTGATTGCTACTCGTTTTTATCATGCCAAAAGGAAAGAAGAGATGGTCATGGTCTTTATTTATTTGCAGCCCGGCATCAGGGATCAGTTGAGAAAGTACTTGTGTTCCATATTCATATTACTTCTGCCTTGTATGCAACGAGACTATTTGATGATTCACGTGGAGGGCCATAACCTGATGAAGACGTCCGATGATAATTTGCCAGATGAATACAACTGCTACAAGGGGTTGCCGGCGAAAGCAATATGCAGCTGTTCTTGTAGATTGAAACTACCATACCAAGTTCGTACTTTTCATGACCATTCTGATTCAAGCTTGGCCTTTCGAAGCTACTAATTGATAGCTCCAAACATATACAAACGGTTCATCTTCCTTGTTGTTTTCCCAGATTAAGATTGAGATAAAATATCTGTAACAAAAGCAGTTGCAACTCCAATATAATTCATCTGTTGGATCTATATAATAACTTAAAAAGCACACTGATTCTTAAAAGATGTTCGATTGAGTATTAATTTAATTAACATCAATACTTTTAAAGATTCTTAAAAGATAGAGATTCAAGTGAATTTGAACTCAGAATGTTAATAAAGAAAATGACATAAAGCTGTTCCTTTGTCTACTTGGATTCATATATAAATTCTCGCAGTCGCACATTTAAGTTACACAAGTTTTGATTGAGAAATGCCCCTTCTCTCGGGACTCTTTTTAAAAATGTCAAGGCAATGATCTCACTGAACAAGGCAACCCCAGAATCCAACACTCAAGAAAAAAATATTATATATATATATATAGCTACTATCAACCCTGCAATTAGACCACAAATACCACACTACATGCACATATAATAAACTATACCCTCTTTCTGTTATCCACACCTAGTTGACTATGATATCGAGTGACGCCTTCGCCTGTGGAACAAGAACCGAGATTCTGCATTTGGTTTACCCCCTATAGGCTTCAGATTGTTGATCCTGAATAAAGAGTTGAGCTTGCTTAATTTCTTGGTGAATGATTTGAATATCTTGTTAGCAGGCTGAGACCTGACCAACTCTTGTTTCATTGACACATGATCTTTTTCGAGGTCTGTTAGCCTCATTCTCATCCTTGCAACTTCGAGTTTCAGCTCTCGGTTCTCTCTTCTAACCGATGCATAGTTGTCTCTCGGCGAGATGGCTCCACTCCCTGCACCGCTGCTCGATCGTTGAGGGAACTGGCCGTTGATTGCACCAAAAAATAACTGATTGTGTCCTCCGTTCATTGCGTTCCGAAGCCTGATTTGCTCAAAATATAGCACTTGGACAGCCATTTGCACTGGTAACCTTTCATTTTGTGCTGCATGACTACAAGCTTCTTGAGATAATTTCTGACAATCTATGGTTTGGCATAGTCTGTATCGTTCAGAATCTTTTATGTTTGGATGAACCTGTAAAAAGCAAAACAGAAAACGGTTCTAAGAATGCCTAAAGATGACATAGTTATGGGACAACTAATTAGTGTTTTCTTGTGAAACCCTCACCTTGAGGAAGATATCGACAGCTCTGTATAATCCATCGCTAACGATGCGAGCATGGTCGGGAAGTAATTCTGCAAGTGCTATGAATTTTGCTGGCAGCAAATTTGTGTCCAGTGCAACTTCTGCAATATAAGTGTCCAGTAACTTCGATACTTTGAGGATTGAACTTTGTTTGGGAGATCCCGGGCTGTCGAAATTGTATGCCATTTCACTTTCATCTCTCATGGGATTATCTTCATCATCATCCTCATCCAAGTTCAAAAATACGGAGAAGATCCTTAAAATTGACTCTGTATCATACAAGGTTGTATGATTGGTTCCATGTGAATTGGATGGTATTAGGATATCTTCAAGAATTGCCTGGTCTAGTTGCAGGCCTATCCTTCTCTCAAGATCCGATCTGCAAGAAGTGGATACCGATGAGGCTATTGCGGTTTTCAGTAAACTGGAGAGAAAAGACATGGGAACCAAACTCTTCCTTGATTGAGTCGGCAGTAAGCTAACTATGGCTTCAACAATTACCCTTTGTTTCTTTTGCAGCTCTAAGTCCAACAGGCTTCCCCTTATCAAGTGATGATCCCTGAAGACCAGACCTTGTAGAGAATTATGGGTGTAATTTATCAAAATTTTGCTGATCATATCCTGTTTTAGACCCTTCGACTTCACGGCCGTTAAAACTCGTTGGAAGAAATCAAGATTAAGAACCGCCAGAGACTTTCCCCACCAGTCGGATGGTGTTTCTGGTTCGATGTTCGGCATTGCTTTTGATGGGAAGTTGTGATCAAGTTTCAATAAGCCTGAAGTGAGCTGCTCTTTGCATGCATTATTCGCAATTGCATTGATAAGCCTATTAACCATGTTGATCTCTTCAGATACAGGCAAGAGGTTTTCGCAACGGTGAAGAACAGATATCGAGCTCGATATATTTGGGAGTACCAAGTCTTTCAGATACCCTTCTGTCCGAGCTTCCAGATTCTTCTCCGCAAACTCTTCTGTCATTTCCAGGTAATGAGATGCACATCTTAACATGGCAACATTCGACAACGTAATCTCGATATTTATTCCATAGCAGAACTTTGCAGCTAGCTCAAATGCTTCTGGTCCACCAGGAATAGAAGAGAGATTCATAAGCGAAATCACTGCATCCTTCGCTTTGATCAACAATTTACGGATTCTTCCACTACGAGAAACAAGAGGGAACTGAAAAGAAAATTTACAACCGCATGACTAAAGCTTCTATCACAATGGTGCAACAATTTTTTGGTCACAAGGTAAACATCTTTCAAATACATATTGGCTGCTAAGGAAATGCCAAAACAGTTTCAGCTTACCTTGTGAAGTGCAAAGCTTGATGCTCCTACTTCAATGGTGAGATCACTGGAAACATCAGAAATAGGCCTGCATGATTGATAACTAGGTTAAAAAGGATGCTGCAAAGAGACAGAAACTATAAAATTAAAAATTAAAAAAGGGGGAAGAAAGATGAATGAAATTCTACATGCTTGTTAGTGTAAATAGTTTAGACATCATATTGTTGCTTGAAATAATAAATTCCACACTGCTTCAGTCAATTGTAATTGTTTCACTGAACATCTCAGTCAATGGAAAAAGAAAAACATGGAGGACCCCAGATAGGGAAACTGACAAGAAAATAATTATAGCATGAGTGGTGTTGCTTAAACAACACTGCATGCAATAAGGATCATGTTTGCATATCAAAAGGTTAAAAAAATCTAGAAGCATACACAGCAGAATTGGTTTTAGTTTGGAAGTGGAAAAAACAATTAAACTATTTTACATTCATGAATATGAATTGCTGGGAACCAAACGGGACCCTTAATTTGATAGCTGTGTGTGTTTTTGTTGCATTCTAAGAGAATATAAAAACTGTTGATAGGGTAGCTTATGAGAATATATCAGGTTGTATTATTGATTTTTTAGGATAAGAACACATCCCCATGTCCGGAAACCGATCCTCATTGTTCCGTCACTTCGGACGGAAGACTTCCGAGGTCAAGATCTTGGCTAAAAGGGGTTATAATCTGTCAAAGTCTACATGACTGTATTCAATCAGAAAGTGGTTCTGTAATTTACTTGAGGGGGGGGGGGCTAAGATGAGCTGAAGCCATTGATATAAGAAAAGGCTGAAATCCATGTACTTTTCTGATAACAGTTATTGGAAAAATTATTGCACCCTTTATATAAATTAGGAAACTAGGAAATAATACATAGCAATATATATACTCTTGTTGTGTCAGAAATGAAGAATCAAGTTGGAAAACATCACTTTCCAAAATTAAATAAAACATCTGTACCATTTTACTCCGGTTTCAGAAAATGTTTTGGGATACTGAAAATAACCTTAAAAATCACTCTGCAACAAAGCTAGTTTTCCCATAAACAACAGCAACAAAGAAGAAGAAAGTTATTACCATTCAGTGGCATGCCTTGAACTTGGACGAAAAGATCTCTTTCCTGATATCGTAGGTTTCACTTCACCAAGAGTAATAACACCCATCTTCTCAAAACCCTGGAAAATCTCAGATTTTAGCCCAATGAAAGTTATGAACCACAAGCAGCCACTAACAAGTTAGCAATACTTCATGGTTTCTGTTGCTGACAGGTTGTTGTTTAAGGACACCAAGTCTCTCCTTCTCGTAATGATCTATATTATGAAGGAGAAAGGCTGGTTTCTGGGGTGAGGTGAAATTAGAATTCATTCAGGATTAAAAGTGTGGTGATGGCTTTAAAATATACTTTTAATGAGTGTTATGTACACAATGTGCTTTAATCTAAAGTCATTAACTATTCGTTTGTTTGTACTTTTTAGTGAAAGCCAGTGAGAGTCATGTTTTTTTTTATGAAGAAAAAAAATATTGCAGAAATCCTAAAGGGTTGCAGTGCTTGTTAGGGATGTAATCATGGCTAGTGAAAGCCACCCATATAAAATATTAGCTTAATTAACTTTTATATTATGTGTGAAGTCTTACTAGAGTAGGGAATTAAGAGGATGAGTTGGATCACATGTTATAATTAGTACTATCTCTCCGGGATTGTCTCAGAAAAAACGGGTTAATATACGGTTAATATACGGCAGTATCGGATACATTAAAATGTATTTAATAAATTCGGTTTAGCGGTACCTATTATGTTGACAATTAATAATGTTTTAGGTAGAAAATATGAAAAACTATTAAAAACTTTGGTAACCGGTAAACTTTGGTTATCGGTAAGTATATATCCTTTTTATAAAAGTGTCCATACTTTTAACATATCAAGTAAATTTTACCGGTTTTGTCATAATGAATCTGGTTTTGTCATATTTTTACATGTTATATTGTAAAATATCTATCCTTTTTATAAAAGTGTCCATACTTATTTCACTGTGAAAATATATTTATTATTATCTTTGGTTAATATTGTTAAATTTAAATTCTAAATAATATTTTATAAAATATCAAAACAATCAAATAATTTTATGTGTAAATGAAATTATTAAATTAATATTGTAGGTGGAAAATATGAAACACTATTAAAAAAAATTGAAACATAAATTACATAACTTTAAAAAAAGTATATATCATTTTTATAAAAGTATCCATATTTATTTCACTATGGAAAACATATTTATTATTATATTTGGTTAATATTGTTAAATTTAAATTCTAAATAATATTTTATAAAATATCAAATAATCAAATAATTTTTTGCGTAAATTAAATTATTAAATTAATATTGTAGGTGGAAAACATGAAAAACTATTAAAAAAAATTGAAACATAAATTACATAACTTTAAAAGAAGTATCGATCATTTTTATAAAAAGTATGGACACTTTCAATATAATAGGTAAAAATATGATGTAATAGGTAGCGCTTATATAATGTAATAGGTAGCGTTTATATAATATAATAGGTAGTGCTTATATTGTAAAGTATCTATCCTTTTTATAAAAGTGTCCATACTTTTTTCACTGTGGAAAACATTAATTTAAGGTTATCTTTTGAGTGAGTTTTAAGATATTAATTTAGTAATTATAGGCGTCTAATGATTTATTTTTTACGTTACGATATATATTATTATTAAATTAAAAATTCTAAGTATTATTTTATAAAATATCAAAACAATCAAATAATATTTTGTGCAAATGAAATTATTAAATTAATATTGTAGGTGGAAAACATGAAACATTATTAAAAAAAATTAAAACATAAATTACATAACTTTAAAAGAAGTATCGATCCTTTTTATAAAAAGTATGGACACTTTCAATATAATATAATGTAATAGGTAAATTTGCAATGCTATCGGTATAAATATACCGGTTTACTTATAAAATAGGTAAATATAAGCGCTACCTATTACATTATATAAGCGTTACCTAGTATGTTATTGTACTTTATAATATTTTCGGTTAAATAATATAACATAACCGGTCTAAATTTTAACCGATCACTTGTTTAACCGATCACACCATATATTAACCGTTTTTTAGGGGCCGCACCGCAGAACTACCCACTACTCTCCTCTGTCCATATTACATCACTCAAAACTACTTTAAATTTTGCAGATATATATATAACCTTAAATTAATGTTTTCCACAGTGAAAAAAGTATGGATCTCTAAATAAGATAAAATTATTCTGGCAATTTTTTATTTATAATATTCAAGCTAAGAATTTTATTAAAAAAATCGAACTCTTTACTACTTGACTCGATAGAGAGTGATAATGAAATGTCATTTTTTTCTTGGTTAGGCTTGATAACATCTTTATGTTGTCCTCCTTTGTGTTATGTGCATGACTACTCAAATCCCATTAGGATTATTGGCTTTTGGGGGAATTTAAGGTTTGATTTTCATTTATTGTTTATATTCTCTCTTAGGTAGGCACATCATGAGCAACTTATAGGTCTCTTGTGACAAAAGACATCTTAACTTTTTACTTTTCTTTCTTTTAAAATCCCATTTCTTTATAGCACACCTCTAGATTTTTAAATGTTTGAACCATGCATTATGACCTTGAGCAGCTACACCAGAAAAAAAACAGCTTAACAAAAAAATTTTAATATGTTCGGGTTCGGGTTTGAGTTTTTTTTTTTAAGAATGTCCCATTTATTAAGGGTTGATTTTCTAGACCACGGTGGGGTTGAAAATCTTTTGACATCAAAATACAAACCTGTATCAGCCAAGAAAATGGAAGGGCAGAGCCCAGAGCTGGACATTGATACCAAAAGCCAAAAGGGAATTTTCTTTTGCCCCTCTTTTTCATTTTCTTTTCAAATAAAACACAGGTGAAGAGGGGAAAGCAGCTTTGAATCATTAGTACAGAAGGTGGATAAGCAAAGCAAAGTTGGTGGCTACAATTATAGTTACAGGAAAACATGTGAGCCCACCACCCTATGATATTATCATAGTAACTTGCTGCAAATAAAAGGTTGTTGATCATCTGGGGGTGTATGTATATGCCTAATTATGACTTACTATAATCATTTATGAAATTGAACATTTTTAACCTGTTCTGCACTTACTGGTCTTTGCCATGCTCGAATCAAAGGGGTTACTTTCAAATCATTGAACCATCGATTGTCCAAGTGTCTTCTTGCACGTGGGTTTGTTCATTAAGAACTGCTCTTCAGCTCCATTTATTCACATCCTCGCCTACTTTGAAGCCATTTTCTTATAAGAAGGAAGCAATTAAGAATATAAAAGAGTGGGAAATAGTTTGATATTAAAATTTTCACTTAACACGGTTTTGAGTTCGATTCTTGACATTTCTATCCTCTTGTCCGAAGATTTGACCGTCCAAGATGCATTGCAAGTATATATTTTGTAAAAGCTATGCCTTTTTGGTGTAGGATTTAAAAAAAAAAACAGCAGTAGTTATGGATATAAGGGAAACTATACTGTTGTTTTCATGCAAGTAAAACATGGGGGTTATGGCCATTTTGGCATAAGTTAAAGCAAAGCAGGACTTTCAACCTTGAGGTTCTTAACCTTGAGATCGTGGGATCGAGTTCAATGGAGGGCATTTCATAATTTGGAGGTCTCCTACGAAAGTTGCTCTCAACCTAGTGTTGGGGGCAGCTTACTATCTTACCTTCCCTTACTCCATTACATATAAGAAAAAGGGACGATCACTTTAAAGCAAAGCAGGAAACAAGGCTTTGTCATCACAACAGGGAAACACTTAAAAAGTGATGGTTGCGCATGTTCAAAATTTAATAGTGATTTGTTCAATATAATGATATAAGCTTCGAGTATATATACAAAGAATGTAATGCGTGCCATATCCATTGAATCCGGTGAAATCCAATGATTGACTATTTAATTTCACCTATTTGATTTATGTTATTGTCCCTAGGGATGGACATTTAAACCCGACCCGACGGTTTCCGACCCGATCGGGTCGGATTTTTTTTAAAAAAAAATTTAGGATCGGGTCGGGTTCGGGTTTAGGGTAAAAAAATCCGACCCGACCCAACCCAAAAAATATATATAATTTTACCCTATATTTTTAGGGATAATTATAATAATACCCCTCTATATATAATTTTTTTCAATTAAGTCACTGTTTTTATTGAATAAAAATATTTTTTTTTTATTTCGAGTCGGTTCGAATTTCTATATCATATATTTGGGTCGGGTTGGGTCGGGTGAAACCTTGTTTTGATCGGGTCGGGTCTCGGGTGGAGGCTCTCTTGTTTTCGGGTCGGGTGGACCAAAAACCCGACCCAACCCAACCCATCCCTAATTGTCCCCTTTAGCACTTCAAAAGTATTTTGGGGTTTACAAATTTCGACTTCAAATATATTTATTTTATAATTTATGAACTTATATTTTTTTATCAAGACATTTTAATCATTAATAAATGCATCCTCATTTTTTTTATAAAAATCAATTAAACTCCTATATCATGTTATCATTTCACATCGTGTCACATCAATACTATAAACCATTACATCCACACCATAACACGATTTATATCAGTCAAAGAACAATATTAACGAAGAGTTCAAAGACTAAATTAATACAATTAAAAACAAGATACAACATTACTAATTTAAGACAACTACAAGGGCAAAATTACCCCTTAAATATTTGTTTATAAATAAGTCGACCCCACGTAGATAGTACTTTGTCCTCGAGTCTAGAACATAAGTTGCAATGAATTGTCTTCATCAATCCTTTCAAAGTTTTTCCCACCTACACCCTCAAACAAAAGCAGTAATACCGACACCTGCATGGAGAACAATCCAGGTGATGCGTTCATTGGCAAATGGAGTACACAAAACATCAAGCTCAAAGGATAGTCACAGGCTTTATGTTGTGATTATTTGGAAGAAAGGGATACAACTTCATACGCTGCTGCTACAACAGCTTATTACAGATAATATTGATGGTAATAAAAAAGACAAAGCTAGGCATAAATAAATACAATCAGTTCTATTCTGAGGTAATGCAGATTGGTTGATAAGGCCTTGCACCTGGTAAATGTAACTTTGCACAGTTGACTATAATGTACCCAGATCTATTAACAGAAAAAAAACTCAAACCATATCTGCCAGATAATGAAGAATGGCTCTAGCATTTTACATCAATTTGTGCGATGAACCTCACCACCCTGTCTTGTGCTTCTGCTACTGCTTAGAGGAACAGAACTCTGATTTGAAAGCTGCAAATCGGAAAGGGGAACAGATCCTGTCTGCGAAAAAATCAAGCCAACCGAACTAGTAGATGTGCCAGCAGAAGAAGGAATTCTGCTCAAATAAGAATCCTTTTAAGGCCCTGGAATAAGCTCTGGATGTAAATCAGAAGAGGAAGAAGGTGCCAATGTAGCCAGTAAAGACCCAACTTGATAAGGAGCAACGGGCATATCAATGAGAGATGATGCCGATGGACTAAATCTTATTGTTCCCACAGGGTGATCGAATTTGCATGTGTACCCAAACTTGCAGTGCCCATTCTGTAAGTAGAATGAACAAGGCTGCACACCCTATTTACAAGAAAGAATCAAATCACCCTGTTTACCTTTAAGACTAGGTAAGGTGAAGGAAACCATGAAGAAATTATTATCTAACCGACCTTTAAGACTACACCTATCTTCCTGTTATAAACAAGGAATGAAAAATAGCAAAATTGAAAATTCCATAAGATCGAGTAGCTGCAATGGACTAGACATGATATATGATCAGTGATCACTACGGTAATAGTCTATCTGAAATTAGGGGAACATGATAACCAGAGTGAGAACTTGCAAAGGTTGATTTAGAAAAACACTACAACTTGAAGTATGCATGTTATTCGGAAAGTATAATATCTGGAAAATACAACAATTCGAGAAGAGACAAGAATATTTTGCAGCAAAATATAAAACATTTTCAATGGATAACAGATATTATCAGGAAAAAAGTGAAAGATCCATGTTACTAATAACATATCTGATAAGTATGTTACTAATAAAATATCTGATAAGTTGAAGAGTCGTGATAACTCCATTATAGATTTTCATAGGATTTTCTATACAGATTTGATCGCCTAGTATATACTAGATCCTCTCCTAACCAAATTCACAGTAAGACAAATGATGTAAAGGAGAAAGAGGGATTAAAAACAGACTAAACACATACACCTCATATAAATGTATGCTGTTTCTCAATCAGGCCAAGTTGGTAAGAGTGACTGAGACAGAGGCCTATCAATTCCACCACTGAATTAGGATGGGTGCAAATAAGGACCTCATTATATAAAGTTAAGGGTGGCTATTAAATCGAACACAAGTTTTTTCTAACCAAAAACATACTGAAAATATTAAATAAGAATAAAAAACCTTGATTATGCCCTCATATAAGGCATAAGAAACTTTGGTGGAGCTAGATTGCGTAATTTAATAAACCTCCTAGCAGCTACAAAAAGGCATGCTACTCCCTACCATGAAATTGTAGCAGTTTTCAGATGATCTATCTTTTGGCCACAAGAACATTAAAAGGTTTCAAAAGCCTCAACCAAAGTGCTCCATCATATGACAAGCTATAACCCTCACACATTTTCCTCAAAGAATACTTCTATTTATCCAAAATTAATTATGAAACTTTGACAAACCTAAGTCATCTAGTAAGCAATAATTAGATTCCTGATTTCTAAAGGCCAGCAAAAACCCTTCAACAGTAGATTATTTGCAGATGTAAACAATAAAAGTGTTAAACGTGAATGAAGAAATCTCAAATCTATTAATTATAACCATTATTGGAGGCTGAAGGCTTCTCAATCTTACACTTGAGCATTGATTAAAAGTGAAAGCAAAGGACAAAAGGCTTCACTTCCTTTCTTTCCTATCCAAGGAACAAAACTTTGAACTCCATAGTAATCGCAGACTTCTAGGGCAGTCACTCGAAGTCAATTCCAGAGGTATTTACAATATATTAATCTAACCAAACTTACTTTAATAAAGCAAGATTTTGAAGTTGAGATCCGTATAAAAGAAAAGCCTAAGTGACAGCATTCTAACAAAATGTCATCTTGAGCATAAAACACAAGATAAAGAGATTAAAAGTGTTCACGTACCGGACGTAAAGGAAGTCCCATTGAATTTAGGGCACAATTTGTTCGTGGAACAACCCTGTCTTTGGGGTGATGATACCTACAAGATGATCGAAATCTACAATCACCGATTCTCAAATAGTATTGGCATTCAGGTTCACCGGGTCTCTCTGGGAATGTTTGTTCCTTCTGGTTACTGCTTGAAGGATCAGTAGAAGAGGAAGAGGAAGGATAGGGTCCTGCAAGTGAGGGTGTCGAAGAAGATAGTTGCGTTGGTCCATAGAGTGAAGTTGCTCCAACAGCAGGTTGCGCACCAGGAGAGAGTGCTGGGCTTATGGGTGCCTGCACAAAGTCAAAAACAGCTTCAGGAATGCCATATACTTGGGCATTATTGTAATGCAACAATGCTGATCATCCTACCGAATAATGACTCCAACCCGGAATAGGAACCACTCCAGGGGAAAAAAGCACAGGACCATAAGCCCCTTGAACATATGAACCAGGCATTAGTGGAGGCCTTGCCACTCTCACACTGGTGGATGCTCCCCCATATTGTTCAGGCATAGGACCCGAAGGAGACTGCACCGACTGATAAAATTGAGGTGCAGATGCTGGCATTGATGTGCCAGCTTGCTGAGGATGATGGAATTTACAAGTAACACCAAATTTGCACTGCCCCATTTTCAAATAGTAGGAGCACTCTTCCTCGTCCTGATAATAAATGCACATCAAAATGGTTCTGGAAGTTTTTAAGAATACTCAGATAGATACATACAAATTGATAAAGAAAAAATGAGAAGAGATCATCCAAACCGGTCGTAATGGATATCCATATATATTAAGTGGAACGTGGCTAAAAGATCCACCTAAATGTTTTGGATGGTGAAACTTACAGGATGCACCAAATTTACAAGTCCCAGTTTTTAAATAAAACTGCAATAACCACAAAAGCACAAGTTAGGGAAAAAATAAAGAAAAGGTCTTTGCAGCACTAATTAGCAAAGGGGTTGATTGATTCATTAACAAAGATTTTGCATTTTTCCATAAATATTTTTTTTCTTTTACCTGGCATGCGGGTTCCCCGGGTCGTTCAGGGTACTCCCCTGTAGCTCTTACAGCAGCCTCAACCTAAATGACATCACAACCAAATAAATATGAGCAACTAAACTCTGACAAGAGGCTTAAATCGAAGTACAAGAGGAAAAAAATCATTCCAGACATCTAACAGATCATTAAGAATTATACAAGAGAAGGTCTACTTGTATTACCGGTTTTAGAGAAGATAATGAAGAAACACACAGGCATATGTATTATGTTGGAGGCAATTTGTTTAAATCCGGAAAAGAGCATGTCAATCATAACTTGTAAACTGAAGTGGTCAGTTTCTATTTTGAGAGAAATATCCCATTAGAAATACTATCTCTATCAATATCCCTATGAGTTATAAGGGACAAATTCTAATAACTGCGGAAAATTGCTTCATTTATCCACTACTACTGTGATAAGTTCCTTATTCCTAGTGCATTTTGTACTTTTATAATCAATATGAAATTGTTAAAAATAAACTCACTTAGTTACACCTCATCTGTAACATCAATAAATACTCTTCATTCTATTTCCATTAACCAATATCAATCGAATGTAAAGAACCAGACAGTGCAACCGAAGTCAATAAAGAACAAAAAGGAAACCCACATTTACAGAAGCAAATGATAAAAGGATTTTACTTACAGCAGCACGGTTGCGAGGGTGATTGTACCGGCACCTACTACCGTACCCGCATAGACCGGTTCGCATGTAGTAAACACAGTCAGGTACCCCAGGTCGTTCCGGGTACGATTCAGAACCTCTCAACGACAATTGCCACATCGATTCTGCATTAAACCAAAAAAATACTAATAAAACACCTAATTCACTCTCCATATGGTAAAACCCCTAAATCCCCATACAAAAATAAGTTTTACCAATGTGATATCGTAACAATGCGGGTAGAAAACCGGAAAATACCTTCCAAGCCAGTTCCGGGACCCGTGGGGCTCCATTAGGGCTGGTGAACCGATTGCGACCCATTCCGTATCGGGTTTCGACCGTACAATTCCATCGGAAACGGATTCTGTTTTTTCGTTCCGGGGTGGGGTGGGGCGGGGCGGGTTCTGTAACTTCTACCTTACCAACTACAGAGAAAAAAAGTAAAAATAAAAAATGGAGGCTCAACAGAGAACAACGGAAGGTTCTAGAATGGACGGAGAGAGGTCGATCGATGGTGGAAATAAGCTGACAAACACCAAGGAGGAAGAAGAGAGGTAGAGATTATTTGATTTCCCTGTATTTGAGCTTTTGACTTCTGTTATCTCTCTACGTTCTCTCCCTTACTCCCCAATACCGTACGTCTGGGTTTGGTAGGGTGTTCATTCGGTTAAAACGGTAGCCGACCGAATCGAATTAATCATAATTGAATTAATCAAATTTTTTGTTTTTTAACTGTTAATTGAATCGAATTTTTTCCGAACATATTAACTGAACCAAATAAATTTCGGTTAATTCGGTTAATTTCGAATTAATCGAATTTTTTTAAAAATTTTCTAATTTATATAAAAATTAAATATTTTTAATTCAAAAAAAGTTTATAATTAATTTAAATAATATATAATTATAAAATAAAAATTTAGATAAATTTTTTAATTAATTAATATTGATTTAAGTTTAAAAGTTATTTGATCTTAAATTATTAATTGGGTTTTAAATAGTTTGGGCTTAGCCCATATTTTATATATAATATATTTAATATTTTTTAATTAAAAAACAGTTTACAATTAATTTAAATAATATATAATTATAAAATAAAAAATTTATATACTTTTTTAATTAATTAATATTGATTTAAGTTTAAAAGTTATTGGATCTTAAATTATTAATTGGGTTTTAAATTATTTGGGTTGAGCTCATATGTTATATATAATATATTTAAAATTTAATTTCGGTTAATTCGGTTAATTAACCGAATTCGAACCAAATTAACCATTAACCGAATTCTAAAAATTTTCTTAACCGTTAACCGATCGAACTAATTCGGTAACCGAACCGAATTAACCGAACTAATTCGATTCTGTCGGTTAACCGAATTAATTCGGTTATTTGAATACCCCTAAGGTTTGGGGCCTTTTTTTAGTTTCGCTTATTTTTTCATTCTTTAATGTTTGGTGACATTAATAATTGATAATTTAATTTAATAAACAAATGGACATAAATAAGTATATGAACTTGACTATTTTTTAAGAAATTGGTACTTAGATTTATAAATAATTCTCAAATCAATATATAAACTTGAAAAAACTTCAAACATTTAATAATTAGTGTTGATATTATATTTTAATAACAAATCAAAACGTGATATGTGTCACTTAATAATATCATTTTAACGGATTTGCAACGCATCAGTAACTTGATTGATTGTAAGATATCAAGTCAAGACATTTATTAATTTGATTAATTTTTTAAGATCGTATATCAATTTGAGATTAAAATAAGTTCATGTACTAATTTAAGAAAAACTATGAAACTCATATACCTAAAAATATATATTCCAAACACTTTAAAATCTTAATGTTTGAATTTAATTTGGTCTTGTAATGAATGACTGGTACATATGGTTAGTTATTACAATAGTAAGCATCTGAAATAAAATAAATATCCTTTCAAGTCTATATATGTGTACTATATTGTAGGTCAGACTTTGTTTTCAGTCCCTCTATTATACTTAATTTTTCTGTTTAGTCTTTACACATTAGTTCGATATAATTTGATTTGTTAACTTTATAATATTATTAATTAACTTAATTAAAATTTTGATGTACTTTTTGAAAAATTATTTTTCTTCAACTAAATTTTTATATTTTAGCAGAAATAGTTAACTGAAGATATATTTTGGATTGAATAAATGAAATTATAAGAGCAAATAACTAAATAACGTCTAATTAAAATAAAAAATTAAATTTTAATTTATTATGATATAGGGACACAAAATTGTAATTCCACCTATACTATTTCACTTTCCTTCCTGTTGTTTTGTTGTGTCTATCGGATCCTTTACCCACATAATAAAAAACCATCTGGGAAATTGTTTACTTTTCCGCGGAATTGTTCAAAACCCGGGTTTAGACATACACAAGAGTAAAACGAGCAATCGACACTTGTCTGGAACTGAAATTACCTGTATAGCCTTGTACTTTGTTCAAGTGAAACAACCAGATTTTAATCCAAAATTATTATTTCATATAATGTTGCTAACAAAAATATTTTTTTCAAAAATGTTAAAACAGTGATATATGTTATATATTTATTTGCTTTAGTTTTTAAAAAAAATATTTAAACATGATTGTTATCTCCTAACATCATTTATAAAATATTTAAAAGTGATATATCAAATTCCAATTCTTAGTTCAAATTAGAGGTGAACAAAACTCGAATCGAGAAATCTATCTCTTCGACCCGACTCGTAATTTTATAAATTTTACTCGACTCGAGAAAATTTTAAATTCAAGTCAAGTTACAAAATATAACTTGAATAACTTAAATTTTTTAATAATTAAAAGGTTTAATGTTCAAGTTTGAGCCGAGTCTCTCAATTATATATATATATATATATATATATATATATATATATATATATATATAAAGAAATATACATGTATTGTATATGATTATATAAAATTATTTAAGTTGAAATCAAATTATATCATTATATTATTTTTTATAACTAAATTTAAACAGAAACTTGAACAATTAAATTCAAATTTTATAAATTCAACTCGACTTCAAAAAAAAAAATAGCTTTGAATTATAAAATATGACTCGTCAACTCAAATAACTCAAAAATTTTTACTCAACTTGATTCGATCGAACACTCACCCTTAATTCAACTGATAATTAATTTACAAAACTGATTACCTAAATTTATGAATTCTACAAAAAAAAAATCGAACTGATCAAAAATCAATTTATTCAAATGTAAAATTGAATCGATTTTAATTTACTTGTGTTAAATAGTAACCAAGGAAGGCATGGATTTCCTCTCCAATTCATAATTATTTAAATTGATTGTAATATATATATTCTTTTATCCTCATATTTTCTCTAGAAATTATCCTATTTATATGCTGCATCCTTTTTTTTCTCTTTTTTTGTAATTGATATCAGTATTACCAGTGTTTTAATTTTGGAGTAATAAATATCATAATATTCATTATCTTTTATTTTAGTATTTTTCTTAATTTTAAAACACATATTTATTATTCTACTTTACTTTTATCTGAGTAATTTTTGTGTGTGTATGACAATAGGTCTTTTTATTATAAAGCAAGTAAAATACATACACAACATAAAACTTTATGTACAAAAGATAAAATTTATAGAAGATCAGAAAATTTGTATAAAGGTAAAAATTATAATTATATTATGCATATTAACTCTAAAAATGAAGATAGTATTACATTTATTAGTAAAAAAAATAATAGTTTAATAGATATGACTTCTATATATTTTGTAAATTGTATAATAAAGTTAATAAAATATGATAATAATTAGTAAATTAGAAAGGATAATTGAGTTAGATTTTATAACAACCTAGAATTTTTAATTAATATTCAAACATTGATTTAAATCATTATTAAATAAATTAATTTGAATTCGGAAATTAATTGAGCCAAGTTTAAGCTTGAAAGGATATGAATTTTTGGGCTTAATTGGGTCAAATAGAAGTTTTTGGTTTTTATAATAAGGATAAGAGACTAATGATGTAATTATTCATTAAGAAAAAGGACACTGGTTCTCCCTTTGTTTTCGATAATAACCTTGAAATTCAAATACTTTTATAAATGATATATGGAAAACCCATATTATAAATCAGAAAACAGATGTTAGAAAAATTCTTACACTCTTTGAACTTTTAGTTAAAGAAAAAACTACTAAAAACATAAGTTTATGATTTACGTTTTTAAAAAAATTATATAGAGATTTCAAAAAATTGGAATTAAGTCATTTAGACATTTTGGAGGTATATGTAGGGATGGGCATGGGACCCGAACCCGACGGGTTCCAACCCGACCGGGTCGATTTTTTTTAAATCTGGTTCGGGTCGGTCAAGTCGTTTTTTAGGTTATGTTTGGGTCGGGTTGGGTCAGATTCGAGTTTAAGTTGAAAAATACCCAACCCGACCTGACCCGGAAAAAAATAATTTTACCTTATATATTTATAAATAATTATAATAATACCTCTCTCTATATTATTTTTTTCAATTAAATTAATATTTTTATTGAATAAAAAACATTTTTTATTATTTAAGGTCGGGTCAGATCGAATTCGAATTTTATCTCACAAAATCAGGTCGGATTCAGTTCGATAGGGATTATATATTTTTTGGGTCGGGTCGAGTTGGCCAAACCCAAACATCCATGCCCTTCCCAAGGTATATGTCAATATTTATTTAAAATTTGGAGAGAAAAAAATAAAAGTATTGAAGATATATATATCCAGGCAATTTTACTTAAAAAATATAACACTCATTACCCATTATTTATCGATCTAACACCATTTCTGACCGTGTGGAGCGAATACGCGTTTCAGGAGGTGATTCTTCCAAGGATTCAACTGATGTGGGTGAAAAGCGTGTTGTAGGGGATGCGTCTTCCAATGGCACGTTTGGGGGCACACGCTTTTGCCCCAATTTAAAATGGTTTTATACAATTCAGGGTTCAAACCGACAAAATGTATTGAGATATGGTTAGCATCCAATTGCAACAACATCTCGCTTTCTATTATAAATGTAAAAAAAAGTAAGTATCACAAATAATTATTAAAAAATAAATATATTATAATTATATAAAAACAATATAATATAATATAATCATTAATAAAATTAAAATATATTTAAAAATATTAAAATAAAATAAAATATAATATTTAAAAATAATAAAATAAAATTATTAAACACGTTTAATAAAATATTATATTTAATAAAATATAATATTTTTTACAATAAAATATTTAATAAAAATATTTAAAAATACTTTTTATAATATATTAATTAAAAAATTAATTATCAACTATTAAGAAAGAATTAGCTCAAATAATATATATATTCGAATTATATTAGAGAGAGAATAAATTTTGGTGAGAATATGAAGGGAACGGGGTGAAAGGGGTTTATATGGGAGGAGGAAGAGGGTGTTTGGATGGGAAATATGGACGAGAAGGAAATGCGCCTTCCGACGTAGCATCTTTTCCTTGTGAAGGTAGACCCCTTGCAACATGTCTTTGTCACCGTGTCACTGGTTCAACAAAACCATCGGAAGGCACCCTTGGAACGCGTATTCCCCACCGTGGCACCTAGTCAACAGAATCCATGCGAAGGCACCTCGAAAATGCGCCTTCGTTCTATTATGTCATAATGGGTGTTAGTTTAGGAAATAATAGAGAACTGATTTTAGATTAAGGATATTTGATTTTTATGACGATTTTTAAGTAAGATTGCCCTTTGCACTACTATGAAATTATAAATTTAAAAAAAATCTATTTAAAAATATTATAAAAATCCTATTTAGTATCAAGTACAATCATGAATGAACTTGAGAACTAAAGCTCAATATATACTTTATAGAAATATAAAAGAATTCTCAAACTCATGACTATTTTATTTTACTCTTTACTCTTTTTTTATTTATATTTAATACTATCGAACTATTCGTACATATTGTTAAACGACTAAGTACAAAAATAATGACGTAAAATATCAAATATTCAATTAATTTCAGTTTAGATAAAGTTTTAATAAAAAAACTTTTTTCATTGCATATAATTGAAATTGGGTTTCAACCGTACGATTATCGAAATCATTTTACCTATATGAAATAAACTATAAATCTTGATGACTTTCTATGCGGTTAAAAAAGATAAAAAAACATTTAATTTTTTTTTGAAAATTATATCCACGAGACGTAAGAGATAAAAAAAAATATTTACATCTCTATATATAAACTATCATATTTTATATCCCTTGCCCTAAGTTCTTAGGGGCTGTTTGTTTGACTTTGAATAGAATCATTTAGCGTTGAATACTAAATCGTTCAACATTCAGCGTGTTTGTTTCGCACTTCTGAATGATTCAGTGCTGAATGATTCAACAAAACAGTGCTGAATGATTCAATATCAAAGTACATTCTGAATGATTCAGAGCCATTATCAAACAACATGTCATATTCAGAGTTAATTCATACAGAGCATCTGAATCATTCAGCGCTTAATTATTCTGAATCTGTTTGTTTGACTCTTAATGACACCATTCAGCGCGTTTGTTTCGAACCTCTAAATGATTCAGTGCTGACTGATTCAAAAACACAGTGTTGAATGATTCAGCACAGAAGTACATTCTGAAAGATTCAGAGCCATTATCAAACAACATGTCACATTCAAAATTAATTCATACAGAACCTCTAAACTATTTAACATTTAAATTACTTAATCATTTTAAAATAAACAAACAGCCTTTTATTGTTACCGCTTTCAGTTCCCATGCTTCTCATTTAAAACATTTTAAGAAGACAGTTGTACACATGGTTGTGTCGTGTAAGCATGGAATTGGGCGATGGGATACGACAATTCAAACTAGTCTTTATCTTAATGTCTTCCACTAATTTCATGATGTGCTGTGTTTGGATGACAGGGACATCCCTTTTCAACTTAAATTCCTCACATTCTCCTTTTTCACTTTTATACAAACAATACCCATGAAAAGTCGGACTTTGTGATTACCAAAAAAAAAATATATATTAAAAAACGGTAAAACATGTTTTTTAAATGGGGACGGTAATTTATCATAAAAAATATGAACAATATATATTTTTCATAATAAAAATGTAATAAATAAATAAATTTATAATTATATGCATTCGTGAAATTTTAAACATTTAAATGGTAACATTTACACTTTAATCTCTTTCAAAATCTAAGAATAATAAATTTTAAACATTGACCTAGAAAATCATAATTTTATTTTAATTTTTAATATATATAATTATAAGTCAAAATAATAATAATATTTTATTTTAATATTTTAAAATTCACTAATTTAATCCTATCAAGAAAGTATGACATCGCCTATAACTTGAGCTAGTGTTAAATATTCGATATCTATAAAAAAAAAATTAAAAGTGTTTCAAAATCAATTTCTGAAATAATTTTAAAAGCAAAGTTAGCATAAAATTAAATGAAAGTTTGATTTTTTATAATTTTAAAAATGGTTTATAAATAACATATAATTATTTATTTAGTTTGTCAGTTTATAACTTTATATATGAACTTTAATTATTAAATATGAACTATAATTTAAATATTTTATGATATATTTCGTAATACAAATAATGAAAGTTATTTATTTTTTTAATTAATAATTTTCGCCTGTTTTTCATTTTTTTTATTTTTAGTAATTCAATTTTGTTTTTTGAATTAAACACAATTTTAATTTTTTTTTAAATTTACGAGAATAAAAATAAAAGCAACTCTTAATTTCTAAAACGAAAACACACCTAATTTTTTTTTGAAAATCGATAAAAGAACTTTTAAATAGAATGAGATTATAACAATAAAGATGCAATAGTGATATTTTAGAACATATATATTTTATATAAATATTAAATAAATGTATTTCTATCTATTACATTATATTATTTTTTTGATTTTATGCAAATGTATTTTTCATAAACTTCACAAATATAATAAGAAAAAATAAATCACAAAGAAGTAAATAAATAAAATAAAAAAGCGGCTGCTGCGTACACCCAATACCAGAGGTCCCTCTCTTTCTCCCCCTTTCTCTTTCCCTGTGCTATCAAATCCCAGCTAATGAGATCGCATCCAAATACAACAAAACAAAGAATCCCAACGCATAAACCCTAAAACAACAATAAAATTCCCGAGAGATCCTTGTGTTCGAATCGCCACCCTTTTCGAAAATTAAACCGTTTTGAAGTTGCGGTTAGGTGTTCGGGTTCGTGATCGAGTTTTGGTTTTTGGTCGAAATTAGGGCAAAACCGTCCCTTTGGTGGGATTTAAGGTGTCGTGGATTATGGTTGGGAAAGACCTGTGGGCTTGGAATAAAAGAAAATTACGTTTGAGAGCTTGGTAATTTGGGGTGAGATTTATCTTTTTATTCGAATTTTTGTCGTTGAACGATTTCGTTAGGCAGTAACGATGCGAGGAAGGAGCTAGGGTTAGAGTTTGGTGAGGAAAAAATGGAAGAGGCTGAGCCTGAGGAAGGAGAGGCTTGCTCCTATAATAACAATAACGATGATTATGATGCATCCACTGACCCCGAAGCTGATTTATCTTCTCTCGCTTACATAGTAAGAACATTTGGCTCTTTCCCGCCCCTTAAACTGATTAGCTTAGCTTAGCTTTCCTTTAAATTATACCGTGTTGACTTTTTTTAGTTGGGTTTTATTTTCGAAGTTTAAGATTGTTATGCTGATTAATTGCAATGTTGGATATTGCAACTTAGATTTAAACGCCTTTACTGCTTAATTGTGTTGCTTTTAGAAATATAAGATATGAACTGGACTACTGGTATTTTAGTTTTTCATTCTAATCTTTGAAGTATTATTTGGTACTCTTGACTGTTATGCTGGGGATATTGTAATTGGAAGTAGGAAGAGTAAGATTCAAGCACATTCATTAGCATATGGAGTTACTGTGCGTTACTAGTGCTTCTAGAGGATTAGCCAATAACTCTACAATGTAGTACTTTATGTTTTATCACTTGTCTGATGCTTCTTCTAAGTTCCTTCCATTTGTTTTGTTACTATTTAGTGATATGTGGTTACTGTGATGTGTTTGAAGGATGAGAAAATTCAACATGTTTTGGGACATCTTCAAAAAGATTTCGAAGGTGGAGTTTCTGCAGAGAATCTGGGTAAGTCAAAACAACAAGAGAATCATGGTTTTTATGAGGTCAAGATTCACCATAAAGTGGAGTTTATTAATCTAAATTGATGATTTTGGGTTTTTTGACATTGTCACAGGGGCAAAGTTTGGTGGTTATGGATCATTCTTACCGACTTATACACGTTCTCCTAGTTGGCCTCATCCAAAGAGTACACCAAGTCAGGGCTCCAATGCATCCAGATCTCCAGAAACCATGACATTGGAGGTAAGAGTTTTTCTCCATTTTTCTTATCCCTCCACCCATGAAGTATAGTTTACTTCATGTGAGTGAGGAATCTTTCTATCTTGGTTTTATTATACAGGATGTCCATCATAACTCGACGTATTGGGCAAGTGGTTCACAGTCACAGAATGCTGGACCACCACCTATAAATTTTGGAACCCTTCCTGCTTTGAAGGCATCGTCTGCAAATGATTCAATTGAACTAGAGGTCAGCATAACACCTGGTGATGCTGATGAGCTTGCCTCTAGTTGTGAACCTGCAAACAAGAAAGCTACCAATATGCCAGACCAGAAAATATTGAAGGTGCGAATCAAAGTGGGGTCAGACAACTTGTCGACAAAAAAGAATGCTGCAATCTACAGTGGTCTTGGCCTTGATGTCTCACCATCTTCCTCCTTAGACGAGAGCCCTTCAGGAAGTGAGGGGATGTATCAAGAGACTCAAGGGCCATTGTTTGAATCTCCAACCAGTATTCTTCGAGTAAATCTTCCATCTACTATTTTGTTAATTGTCTCGTGAATATAATGTTTTTTTCTCGTATCTTCTTGCATTTGATGTACCTAAAATGATCTGAATATATATATTTTTTCCTGAATATTTTGAGCAGTTTATGACTTCCTTCCCACTAGCTGGTGAGGCACTACTATCACCTCTCCCGGATCATCTACTTAACTTGATTGTAAAGGAAAAAGTTCCAAAAGAAAATAGTTCTGATTCTGGAAAGGGTGATGGAATATTGTTGGGAGTCAAGAAAACAATGTCGGTGGGGAAAAAAGATTTTCCTGCAGAAAGGAAGAATAGCAATAACAGGGACATGAGGAATGACAATGATGCTGTGTCAAAGAAGGAAGTAGATATCAATGATCTTGCTGAGGAGTTGGTGGAGCCAAGATTTTCCCAAGAGATTGGCGTGGAGAGTCCAAGGGATGGTTCAGCTCGAAAGGTTTTGGAGGAACAAAAGACAAGTCCTTTGGGTGATATTTCAGGTTGTGTGAAAAAAAGTGGGTATAATAAAGCAGAAAAAACTTATTATTCTGTCAAATCTGACTCTAATACCCTCAAAGGTTGCAAAGCTGTAGAAAGTGAAGTGGTAGTAGATCCTCCCAATCAGAAGATCATCCAGAGAGTGACATCGCATGAGCAAGACAATATGAAGTTGCCTTCTGCAAAGGAGCATGCCTTGTCTGGTGGAAAAAGAAAATTGAAAGGTAGTCAGAGTAATGGCGGTCTAGATGCAGAGGGAGCAAAAGAAAGCTTGAGGGTGGATTCGTCTTTGTTGCCGAATAATAAGCAGACTGTTCACATGAGCAATTATACTAACAAAAAGGAAACAGGGAGCAAAAAAATTGAGAGGTCATTTCAAAAGGCTGAAGATATGTATAGAGATGTGATTGGAGATATCCTAGAATCAGAATGGGAAGAGAACCAAACAAATGCTTTGGAAATTCTTTCTGAAGATCGGCTGAAGATAGCCAATAAGATTGAAAAAAGCACATCAACCATTAACAATGGACTTGGTGATAGACTAAGTGGTAAGGAAACTGAGGGTGTATTTGCAACTGAATTGTGCCCCAGAGCAACTATGGATGCACATTCTAACTCTGCTAATGTGCATGTTTCTGGAGTTTCCCTTGCAACTGCTGCTCCTGTATTGATAAAAGAAAATTGGGTTTGTTGTGATAAATGCCAAAAGTGGCGTCTTCTCCCAATAAACATAAACCCATCTGACTTACCTGAGAAGTGGTTGTGCAGCATGCTTAACTGGTTGTAAGTTCTTTATCATCACCCCTTCTAAATTTTTTATGAATGTTATTAGTGGTGGTAAAAACTTTGTTAGATTGAACATGAGACCACAGATGTTGATAGTTGGCCTTTGTGATGAATTATGGCAAGATATCTCTTCTTCCTCGCTAAAATCTTCAAAACTGTTTGTCCTTAAAATGTTTAGGCCTGCAATGAATCGCTGCAGTGTTGAGGAGGAAGTAACTACAAAAGCTGTTTTTGCATTGTATCATGTTCCTGAAGTAGAGAGTCAAACTAATCTGCAAAGTAATCCTGTCAATATCATGTCTATATCAGCCTCATCAGATGCCCTGAAAGCTGACCAACACCAACCAAGTCTTGGTTCATATTCTGTACCCCCTGTTGGAAGGAAGAAACATGTTTTAAAGGAAATATCAAATGCAGCTGATAAAGATGGGTCAATTTCTATGAAGAACATGCAGTCATCAGTCCAATCTGGAAGCCTGACTGATGTGACTCTATCTCCTGTTGTTGGTGAGCGAGCTCTAATGCCTCTAATTAAATGTGATTTACCTGTTGAGAAACACAAAAATAATCAGAAGAAGAAACATAAATTGTTGGAATACGGTTGTGATGGATGTATTCTTTTTAAGGTGATATTGTACTTAAACTTCTTTTCAAGCTGATACTTGTTGTACTTAAACATGCAAATAGGTGATACCAAAACTTTAAAGATGAAAGGCAAAAGGATCACTGATCAAGATTCTTTAAGGGCCTCCAAGAAAACTAAGGATGAAACTTTGCATCTTGCTGACGAAGATTGGATGTTTGACCATGCTGTCAAGGGTGGGCTTAGCACGTCAGTGGGAAAGGATCAGCCTAAACAGAGTCAACAATTTTCTTATAAGGATTCAAAGTCTGATAAGGACGGGCAACAGGTCTCTGGCAAAAAACTAAAGGATAAAGTTCAGGTTTCCTTAACTGATGGTCCATTGGATCCGACGAATTGTGATGGTGTGGAAGTTTCAAGAAAGAGGAAAGATGATGAATGCGAGAGTAATCCCCTCCAGGTTCATAGCATTTTTGTGAAGGAAGAGTTCAGTGAGAACGAAAACAGGAGGGAAAATAAGGCCAGGGTATTCAAATCTGGAGGGAAGGATTCTTCTACTACTAAAAGCAGTGGGAAGCTAGAGAAAAAAAGTAAACATAAACAGAAGCATCTAAGTGGGCAAGATCTTGCTAGTTCTCTTTCTCAACAGAGCTTAGATGGTACAGATTCATTGAAAAGGGATTCTGGATCTGCCCAACCTTCTTTAGCAGCTACCTCAAGCTCATCTAAGGTTTCTTGTTCACATAAATCAAAACCTGGCTTCCATGAAACAAAAGGCTCATCAGTAGAATCAGTTTCCTCATCTCCTATGAGAATTCCTAGTCTCGATAAACCTCCATTGACAAGGAATGTTGCAGGGAAAGATGAGCACTGTGATACTGACCTGTTTGCTTCAGATAGTCCAAGAAGATCTTCAGATGGTGAAGATAATGGTAGGAATGACAAGTCAGGGACAGTAAGGAAGGAAAATACTTCAGCTGCAGCTCGACATGGGTCCCTTGAGCCCCTACTTGATAGTCAGGATAAGGATGGTGATCAATTAGGTAGTAGTAAAGCTAAGGCAACAATTAAACCTTCCCCTGATACTGGAAAAAGGCAGTTCATGAATGACGCTGATGATTATTTAGGCCAAGAGGCCCAATTTTCTGGTAAATCAATGGCAATAAATGAACACCAGGATGATGAAAATCTGAAGGAAAACCATGGCACTGTCCATGTCTCTCATCCAAGAAAGTCAGACAAAGGGTCTTCACGGACAAGGGATAAGAGTCAGGCAAAGGGTCTTCACGGTCAATGGCCTGGACTGAAGTCTGATGAAATTGAGAAAAGATTTGTTGAAAATAAAGAACCTTTGGGAAAATTGTCTGGCCAGATTGGTAAAAGAGAGAATCAATCAAATGGTCAGTCAGATGCTAAACTGGTTGCCACTGGAGGTCAAGATGAAGAATATACAAAGAGGTTTCACTCAAAAAACTCTAATCATGCAGAAATTGCTTCTAAGAGAAGGAAGTCACTATCACTACCACCCTCTGGAGGAACACAAAATGAGATGCCAACTCGTCCTCCCAATGCCCTTTCTGGGTCCCAAAAGGGAAATGGAGCTGGTGGATCTCAAGCTCATGATGCACTCAAGGTACAGAAACAAATAAAGAAGGCTGATCGTCAAAGTGGGAGTCAGCAAAATAATTCAAGACATACTACAGCAGGTGGACTTATCAGGGATGTTGGTGCCCCAAGTCTAATGAGAAAGGATTCCTCAAGTCAGGCAGCTACCAATGCTTTGAAGGAGGCTAAAGATTTAAAGCACCTGGCTGATCGTATGAAGGTTTTTCCTTGTTTTCTTGAACTTTTTGTTGTAGTTTTTCCCTTTGCCCTAGCCTCTAGCATTTTTTTTAACTTTTAACATCCCCTCAGAATTCTGGATCAAATGCGGAGAGCACAGCACTTTACTTCCAGGCAGCACTGAAGTTTCTTCATAGTGCTTCTCTTCTAGAATCTTGCAACAATGAGAATACCAAACATGGGGAAATTTATAGTAGCACTGCAAAACTCTGCGAGTAAGTAAAATATTATTTGGTGCTCTAGTCAGTGTTATCTTGCTTTTGTAATCCTAAGTTATATCTTGGAGCTTGATCTTGTATTAGTTGAAAAAATTCCTGTAACATGGAAATCTTCTGTTATTGCATTTTATTTGGGATGGTTTCATTTTTTTTTCTGGTACCTGATTTTATTTTTATTTGTTTACCGATTAATATTCAGGTTTTGTGCCCATGAATATGTGAGATTGAAGGAAATGGCTGCTGCTTCTTTGGCCTACAAGTGTATGGAAGTGGCTTATATGAGAGTTATCTATTCCTGTCATGCCAATGCAAGTAGAGATCGGCATGAGTTGCAAGCAGCTTTACAAATGGTTCCTCCTGGTAATTTAAGGAACAATCGTCATAGTGGCTGAAACCTGTCTTTTTAGTTTGTGTAGCATATAAAATTAAATTATTTTTTTACTGGTCCTTCTACCACTCGGTGATCGGGCACAACAGTCTATCATCTCTGGTTGCTTTATTTGTGAAAAGACCCTTGCACATAAGATGGTTGCATGTTAGAAGCATCGATGATACTAAATGTACTGCATGGATGGTTAGGTTACTTTTAGTTACTGTGAACTTGTTTTGGCATCTTGAAATGTGAGAATCTTCAGGAGTGCCTGTCTGTTATTCATGTTGTTTTGGGTTTCCTTTCATTCACATTAACATCCATATTTATTCTTCTGCTTTAGGTGGAGGACTTGAGCCTGTAAATCAGCAGTGTTCTAGTTTGCATTTGCCGTGCAACAACTTTTACTAGGTTTTGCAAAATGTAGATTGGCCTTGTTGGTATGCATGCATTCAAATAGATATTTTCTAGTTTGCGTACTCATCGGTGTCCCGCAGGCCACAGCTTTTTAATCAACATTTTCTTTTTCTTTGTAGACTTGAGATTCTTTATGACTAATGTTAGTCAATACCCCATTTATTTGGACAAACTGAGTTTAGTTTAAGCTCTTTTCTTGACATTGGTGGTGGTTTCATATCAGGTGAGTCTCCTGCTTCTGATGTTGATAATTACCAACCAACATCAGCAGACAAGGCTGCTTGTCCAAAAGGTGTTAACGCTTCCCAGATTGCCGGAAGTCTTGTTATTTCTGCTCAAAACCGTCCTATCTTTGTTCGGTTGCTGAATTTTGTAAGTGTAACTTTCCTTGTACATAATTTTGAAAGTAATTCATGTATTTTTACATAGCATAGGAGGGAAAGCATTCTTCAACACATCCTTCATTTCCTCCCTGTAACTTTCCTTGTACATAAATTTGAAAGTAATTCATGTATTTTTACATAGCATTGGAGGGAAAGCATTCTTCAACACATCCTTCCCTCCCTCCCTGTAACTTTTCTTGTACATAATTTTGAAAGTCTAATTCATGTATATTTACATAGCATAGGAGGGAAAGCATTCTCCAACACATTCTCCCCCCCCCAACCCCCCCAAAACCAACAAAGCTAATATACACCTTTATCCGTAAAACTATGTTTCTTTTTGTCTTAATGCCTAGAAGCTTTATGCTTTGACTTAAAGGCTTCTGGTTACAGTATGTTCAAAATTGCACGTGTCCTAGCAGCTTTAGACATTTAAACACAGACTTTTGTGGTTCTTCCCATCAAGTATATATTCTCTCTTTCCTTTTTAGATAAATTATTATTATTGTTATTATCATCATCATCTCTTTCTTACTGTAATATTTCATGTTATCTCGTGCTCTTTATTGTGGTACCTAGGTTTAGAGACTTAACTAAAATCAAATGTAATGATTTGCAGGCACAGGATGTAATTCATGCAATGGAAGCTTCAAGGAAATCACGAGCTACTCTTGCGGCTGCCAGTTCAAGGTTGGAAGGGGCTAAAAGCGGGGAGGCTATGTCTTCAGTGAAGAAAGCTCTTGACTTTAGCTTCCAAGATGTAGAGGGAGTGCTACATTCGATACGAGTGGCAATGGAAGCTATTAGCCATTAAGGAAAAAATCTGGTCGGTAAGGACGGTTGTGTACTGGGAGGAAATTTCGTTTTGATGGTTTATCCTTGGCTATGAAGATCTAGATCTGACAAAAAGGAGAGGTTGACCAGTTTTTCCTGTTTTGATCTGAACACTTCCAAGCTTGCAAGTGCTTTTCTCACTGTACATGTGTGCTATACAAGACAAATCTGGGATTTTCAGTACATTTTTTCACAAGCTTGAACTGCTTTCTGACATGGAACAAGATTTAATTTCCTTCTCGAGATGGTATTTTAGATACAGGACAAGATTGCTCCAAGCTGTATAAATTATACTAAAAAAGAAGTGTAGTTGAAGAAATAATTTTATGTATATAGAGAGATGACAATTGTAGATTGAGTTGGATTGGTAAAATTTTGTTGTCATTGTTCCCCAACGGCTGTTTTAGTTCACCTGATTTCATTTGTACATACTATATTAGTTAGAGACCTGTTTAGGACAAATACTGGCACATGCAGCAGCACTTGTTTTCTAAGTTCAGACACCATGAAGCAGAGCATTGTAGTTGGCAGTTGCAGGTTTGCTACGCTTAGATTCATTTCCTTTTTCCACTTATCTGTTCAAGTCTCACTTTTGTTACTCGTATGTGTGCAGGTCACCTGTTGTAGTGTCTGTCATTGTATATACTTGTGATTGGGAGAAAATATATGGGAAAAAATTTGGTGGTGCCTGAGATCCTAAGAGGGTTGCTGGAGTTCTTTTTCCCTTTAAAGGTTGGTATGCTTTTTTGTTTGTGACTGCTTAATATTTGCTTTGGCATACCATTGTTTTCAACATTCTTATTTTGTGCCTGTATATATATTTATGTACCATAAACATTTCTTTTTTGTAGGAGTCTATGTGGAATGTAGCAAGCATATTTGTTTGTGGGAGAGAGACCATTCTATCATATTCAAGGCGGCCTTCTTGATGCTGATAGGCAAAAACTCTTTCACTGGCCATTATTGTTCTAATGGCCATTTGGTTGAGTCATTTTTATACATTGAGGAATTTACTTATCATGTAAATTTTGAAAAATATGATATCTTTTACTTTTCATGTTTGTAGAATGGGCTGCTTTGAATCTATTTGCTAACCGTTTATGCACATTGACGAATGCTAAATATAGACTTGGTTTCGGGTTGAATACTTTGCGCAGTTGCATAAGCAGCAAAGCTGGTTGTGGATCAAACCATTGTTGCAAAATGGGGACTTAGCCTTACCTTTATTTCATTATTGTTTCTATTTCACTGCAAACTATCTATGCATCTCCATGTGTCGTTTATATAACAAAATTCTGAACTTCTTACTGCTTTTCTTCTGTGTATTAACTGACATTTGTTTCAACTCTTTATCAATAAAATTGGAGTTTTCTTAGTATTGGTTTTTGGATACAAAATAAAATAAAATTGGAGCTCCGCTTAACGTTGGTTTGGTGGGGATTTCCGCCTCATTCGGCTCCAACACTCGCATGTAAGTTGAAATGCAGAACAAAATTAACTTACCACATTATATTTGGAAATTATTCCTATATTCATTCTAAATTTGAACTAATCAAATATATTTGTATTATTTTATCATTCAAAATTTATTTGAAACAACGAATTTACTTGGAAAAAAGAATTTATCAACAAAAGGAATCAAAATTAGGGTAAAGTATAGTAATGGTCACTGAACTTTTCTAAAGCTTGCATTTAGGTCCCTCAACTTTTAAAACTTACAATATAGTCTTCCAACATTTTGTCTGTTTGCAATATGGTCCCGACGTAACCGGCCGATTGACGTTGTTTGCAATATAGTCACTGAACTTTTTCAGGTGCTTGCATTTAGGTCCCCCCAACTTTTAAAACTTGCAACGCAGTCTTCAATTTCATTTTAAACCTCAAATTCTAAAATAATTCAATTACATTTTAAGCCCCAAATTCTAAAGTACTTTAATTTAGGTTTTAGAATGTAATTAAAGTATTTTGGAATTTGGCGTTTAGAATGTAGTAAGTGTTTTGAATTTTGAACATGAATTTGCTATTTGACAGTGTTTACTTTAATATAAATTTAAGGTTTATTGCATGCACATCCAACGGCTGCCACACTTTGAACATGAAAAGTGCACCTATTACGGTTATTGCATAAACTGTTGAAGTAAAAGTAACAAGGCCAATTTGTCTTGTTCGTAGTTGCTGCACTTTGGTATGACAATCCAATAGGTTTGGATGAAACTTGAGCATGCACATCCAACGGCTGCGAAAATAGTAAAGAGTTTTAGTTCATAGGACTACAACATACATCCAAGCAATAACTAAAATAAACCAAGAATATCAATTAATAACTCATTCAAAATGAGGACTTAATAAATAAAGGGAAAGAGGTTCGGTCATAGTCACTCCAAAAGCTAAGGCGTCAAATGGGTTATTTAAGATAGACATTAAATGCCAAATACAACATTATCAGTTGCAAATGCATTAATGGCATATTCTTTTACCATATAATTGCTTCTAATGCTCCATGTTTAATGTTCCTCAGTTGTCAAACATGATGAGAATCTAAAGCATATAGCGGAACTAAAATCATAAGACCCCATAATTCTTGTAAATTCATGGCATGCCAGCAATAAAAGACATTGCAAAACATAAAAGACACTGCATCAAACATATATATGTCAGAAATGAAGGTGCAAATGTGCAATGATCGGGCAATATATCAAGTAGTTGCTCCAAATATACTACTCTGTCATGATGCCTTTCGAGTTGTTTGCATGCAGAATTATCTTCTAAAGCTATAATTCAATACAGATTCAACTGTAAAATTTCCAAAACATGTAAAAAAATTCAATTTGTTCACGATATCTCAGTCTTATAATCAACTTTTAAAACTTATTAAAAAGAATACGAGCTCACAGGATGCCGAAAACCACATGTCGAATCAATACAATTCCAGTAAACTAGTACCAACAGTGTCTCGGATTGAGCCTGATTTAAAAGAAAAACCAAACAAGAAGATAAAAAAAAAATTAGCCTAGGACCCTCTTTCACTTCTATTATGATGGACTGAATATCTTTCATAAGGAGTACTAAAAGTTTTGATTAAGAAGAAATAAATAAAATTAAATGGTTTTGGTTCAAAACTAACACTGAATATCCAAATCCTTGACATGCAGTTCTAGAAACATAAAAATTTCAACAAAAAACACACAATGCGAACTGAAAATGAGAAAGTTCGAAAGAGGAAAAGCTTACTTCCGGATAGCCCAAAAGAGAAAATAAATACCTTCTTGCAAGTGAGGGGAGAGGCTAAGAAATAAACGCAATCGGTGTTGCGTTCCAGCAATTCTTCCTCCATTTTTTCTTTGTAAATAAAAAGCTGAAAGACAGAGCACTGCTTGGGTTTACAATTTTACATGGCGGAAAACTGAAGAACAAAAACCAAACGAGGGTGCGTGTGAGCGAAAAAGATTGAGAGGTGAAGGCGTTGTTTGGGATTTCATTATATTTGATCATCTGTTGGAAATTCTTTAACCACAAGGATTAAACGAAGAAATTATTATATGTCATTTATACAAAATAATTTCAGCTTTGTTGGTGAGTTTCAACAATGATACTTAGTTCATCTTAATAGTATTTGTCAACTATGCATTTCTAACCCCATTTTTTTCTCACAAGCATTTAATCGAACATCTATGCTTCACCTGAGATGACCTGTATATAACATTATACCTTGAATCGTTGATGGTCCCGATAGTCCCTTGGTCGAGTCTTCTCTCAATGGACCCTTATTCAAGTCAACACCTCCAAAGAATTCAAAATTTAGATTAGAATTTCCTATACATCCCCGACTGAAAAGTTACGCTGAAAATGAGAAGAAAGAAGCAAAAAAGGAAATTCGAGATCGAAAAGGAATTTAGAGTTTAAAAATGAAATTGAGGATTGTGTTGCAAGATTTAAAAGTTGGGGGACCTAAATGCAAGTGCCTGAAAAGTTCAGTGACCATATTGCAAACAACGTCAAAAAGCCGGTTACATCGGGGACCATTTTATAAACAAATTAAATTTTGAAGGACTGTACTGCAAGTTTTAAAAGTTGAGGGACCTAAATGTAAGCTTTAGAAAAGTTCAGCGACCATTACTATACTTTACCCTTAAAATTATACAATATTTTAATTGGGTATAGAACATTCATTTAAATTTGATTAAAAAACTAAACTTACAACAAAAAGGTTAAAGGAATAGAAAATAGAAATTAAAAAATAGAAAAATTGAATAAATTAAAAATATTAAAATAGAAAAATTGAATAAATTAAAAATATTATAATTAAATTACAAAACATTTAAATTGTTTAATTAAAGATAAAGATGATTTTTTTAATTAAATTTTGATTTGAACTTAAAATTTAAGTAAGATTATTCAAATTAATTCAACTCAAATAGTTTAAATAAAAAATTGATTTTAAAATTTACTCCTTCCTAAATTTGTCCATAGGGCTGTAAACAAATCAAACATTTAATGAACCATTAATGAACTATTCGGCAAAAAGTTAATTTATTTATTGAATTAACACACAAACAAAATTTTTAATTTGTTTAATTAAATAAGCGAACACGAACAATGACTCTTTCATTCATTTATGTTTGAAAACATTCGATAATCTATTCATATTAATTCATTTAAGTTTACTTACATTCGTCATTTAAATTTATTCACATATGTATTTCCCACCTAATAGCTCACAATCACTTTCATTTCACGATAGATTGAAAAAAAGAAACACTAAATCGTTTAAATTTATATACTTTTGTCCATGTTTTTCAGCAGTCATTTTATTATTTTAACAAATGTTACATTCCTTAATTAACAAACACAAACAATAAATTATGTTCTTTTAGTTATTTGTGTTAGTTTGTTTATTCGGTTAAAATTAAACGAACAAACATAGACATACTTGGTTCGTAATCATTAGGTTCGTTTACAGGCCTATGTGCCCATAAACATATTTGTAGAATATCCCCTTTTATCATATTTTATGCAAAACAAAAATCACATTTAAGGTGAAAATTTAGAGTTTACTGGAAAGCAAAGGACTAGTGGTATAATACAGAAAATTAGGAGTGAAATAGTAATCAAATTTCAATCCTTGCAATTAAAAACTTTCTTCAACTTTACATGATAGAACTAATCCCAGAAATGAAAAGAAAAGGCCTTTTTGAATATCCACCATCCTCAACATATCACTTAAATTCGAAAAAGACACCAACCAAATTTTAGGCCAAGTACCTAAACGTGTTAGGATTCTCCTTGTCTCTCTCCAGATAGTCTCTTGTGATGAGATCTTCCATCCTCTTCTTGATGGCTTTAATATCAGGCTGCAAA